AACTAAATAATTTCACTATAAATAAAATTAAATATATTATATTATAGGTCATTTTAATCAACTACATAAAGAAATATACTTATATGCTGGTATGTGATTATTTAATCTACATACATTTAGACATATTTCAACGAATTTCTGTAATACATTATTATTGTGTAAATGTTTATGTTTTTATTTAGCATCAAAGCCACTGCAATAAAATTCCAATTTTTTTTATTAAAAGAAAAAATGTAGAAAAATTAAAAGGGAAACCAATATTTTCAAAGTTGTACATTATTGATATTCTTTATTTAATATTATTCATAACTTTTTTTTTCTGCTTTAGAGTGAATAGTAATACCTAGTTTGCTGACTATAAGAACTCTTTTTTATGTGTCTCACGCTGTGCTTGGTATGGACGTATGGTATTATGTTTAAAATACCTAATAAAAATTATCGATTGGCAATTAACAATAGACAGAAGGTAGGTACCGTTAGTTTTATAGAATTCTTACCAATTGGAAATTACAATTCTTCATTTCTCTCTAAACCATCCATGTGTTATAGATTTATATTTACTTTAAAGATACATCGTAACTACACCACAACACACATCTTACACTATCCAAACTTTGTGTTCCAAATATAAATTAACCAACACTCATTGTGCGAAAGTATACTTTATTCACTAATTATTAATTGCAACTTATGAATTTATGATACATAAATCAACAAACAATCGTAAATATCATATTATTAATTATTACCATTTATCCTGCAATAAACCTACTACGATGTATTTAATTTAATTACGTACACGGTTATGCTAAAATACAAATTTATTTTAAATTGTAAATACATTTCGTGTAACATTTTTTGTCTTCGATGATAACGAACAAAATAAACGTAGACTTAATGATAAAAAATGTAACCCTTTATTTTATTGCTTGATAGAATGATACCTATATTTTATAACTAAAAATAAATATTTTAGATTATTGATACCTAAATCTCAATATTAACACTTGGATCATATATTATGGATGGAGTCATAGCATATTAAATCAATACAAAAAAATGTTGCCGATATATCAGCGACGAGTCACCGAATAAGGTGTTCGAATGTTCGATGTGTGCACGCGACGCAACTTCTCACATCCACAGGATACAGCTGATAATATGTTATCAAATCACCATATTATGTTTTGAATATAATATATATTATTATATTATATTGAAAAAATAGTATAATAGCTATTATAATAAAATAATCAACCATGAACTGAGATTTAGAATAATTTGATGATAGTAAGTAGTAACCTATCGATAGTTATGCGAGTAGACAGTAGTTGCATTACGTATGCGCACGTCGATCACCTGATTCGGAGACTCGTCGCTAATATCGGCAAACAAAAAAATACGTTGTGGCTACATCCATAGTATATGATCTAAGCACAAACGTCATAAACCTGCATTTTATTATCAAGCACCCCGCATTTAGTTGCTATGTTTATTTTTCCATTACACAATAATATGTAATAATAATATCTAATATTAACGTTTGGCAATGAAATACAATTATTAGCTACGAGGTAGTTATGATACCTACGTACTAATTTGACCTGCATTATTTTTTATGTTACATGACTGCAAAATACCTTTCTATTATTCAACCATGATATTATTTCACCACTTGCGCATTTTTCAGGTATAAAGTTGTTATTGATAGTAACAAATGATAAACCTAAATGTTTAATTATAAATAAACAAATGTAACGATATTATGTTAAATGAACAAATTGTATATCAGTTAAAAAAATTATAAAACTATTAATAACTTGATGAAATATTAAATAGTTATACCTATTATATTAATTGATTTTTTGTTAACCATAGTTTTTTTTTAAATAATTTTTTTTGTAAAATGAATTATTTAAAAATTTATAATTTACCACATTCAACATAATGAACAAGTTTTACTACACCAATGCGTTAGAAGAATAACAAACAGTTTCCTTACTTTTTTTGATCAATGATTCAATTTTTATTATTTAGGATTTTATTGCGCTAATGTACAGAATACTCATTAATTTATTTTATAATAAAAAAAAGGACAATTAAAAAACAAACTAAATATAATATACAAGCTAAGCACATTAAGTATCTAGAATATTGTATGTTTATTTTGTTTCTTAGAGCAACTGCTCATCCTCGTTCAACATTCCATGTGGAGCAATGGATGTATTGGTTTTATAACGATGTGTTTCTTTTGTATCTGATGTTACTTTAAGGAGCAGTATAAATACCACATTATTTCGATGTTGAAATTATATCAAGTTGGTACTTAGGGTGATCGTCAGTAAAAATTGTCCAGTGCTTTTCAGTTTAGGGGGAACACAAAAAAAAATTATCTTGATGTCAGTTTGAGTCAACTGACATTGAAATGACAACTTAATGTTTATCTAAATATTGAATTCAATTTTGTTGCTCTGTAAAAAAGCTTCAAAATACAATACATAGTTTCTCATATTCTGTTATAACTGAATTAAAAAATATGCTGTGACATTTTTTTTTATAAAACAAACAAGTTAAGATTTTGATTAAATTGAATATTAATAAGTAATATAATGGTTTTTATTGATTGCATGTAGGTAGCAAAAAGAATATTGGTCACAGTAACTATTCGCCATATTATTATTATCTATACATTTAAAATTTTCAAAATATTTACATCAACATATTCCACACCATTTAACGGTCTATTTGTATTGGTTTTTTAAGTACCTATTATATTATGCAGTTTTTTCAAAAACATATGTACTAGTACTACTACCTATTGAAATATCGAATTAAGAAAAAAAATAATAGGTAATAATATAACATAAACTAATCTTATTTCTTATCCGATTCACCCGTATACTTCATTCAGAGTTATTTTTCGTTTACAATGATTTATGATTGGCTTTAAATTGAACACATCCATTGCAGTGAACAACTAAATGGCGAGTTATTTTCGAATAACTGTATGCAGTGCGGATCGAATTATATTCTATGGTTTACTTTTATTTACTATAATTTTAGCATACTCAATTGCATTTATTAATTATGCATATTATTTAGTATAGTATATTAATTATTCTGAGATGTAAGTACTTTGTTATGTGTATTTAAATAGTTCCTGAAAAAAAGTATTATGAATGAGTATCGTTTAACTTATTAAATCAAACGTTTTAACTAAAAAGTAGGTATTTAAATATAAATGTAAATATTTTTATAAGTACCTATATCAAATGTTCATAATATACTTTCATTGTCATAAACAAAATGTGTACAATTTTTAAGTTGAATACGTTTTGATGGGTTTTTTATGATAAATAAATAAATAATATATACTTTAATAAGAACAAATATTCTGAACAATACTAAATCGTACTCCTAACAACAAGTTACTATATTTAATATTTTCTTCCAAATATTAACAAAAATAAATACCTGAAATAATATTAAAAATCTTGGATAAGTTACTGAAAACAGCAAGTAGAAGACTTAATCAAATGAAAATGTACTATTTATGATAACAAAAATAAATGTAGATATATAGATAGCCTGAAGGTAAATGACTGGATTTGTTCTTGATAATTTTGAATTTTTGAACATAAATGAAATAAAAGTTTCTATGCTTACATAAAGTATTTAAAATACTTAAATATACTCGAATACTTAACGAGACAGCTGTTTGATAAAAATATGTCCAGTAAACTCTTTTGACGTTGTCATTTTCAGTTTTTGTTGCTAATGGGATTTAGAAAAAATTTTAAATCTCCTTTGCAACTTTCATTCTGAAGATTTCAGTGATTACAATACAACAATTTATTATTTATTTAATTCATATTACAAATCTAAAAATGTCTATTTGAAACGTACCTATATTTGAAGTTTGTTCTTTAGATTGGTATATTATAATATGTATAAGCAATATCTAATATGCCATTACTACTCGTGGACATGTATATGGATGTATTTTAATATGATTTACAAATACATATTATACAACTTAAATATTTTAATTATTTAGGTACATAAACCAATTCAAATAAAATTAGACTACAAAACTCTTGTTTTTTTTTTTTGTATCAAACAGGTGATCTTCGTTTTTAACATTAAATACGTCTTATTCACTAGGTATTTACCTACTATAATAATTTATATTCATTTATATGACGATATTTTGATCATTTCATTTGTATGTTGAATATATATAATATTCTTACCTAATACTATCTAGTATCTAACTATTCTTACACACGAATAAAGTATTTATTTTCTAATTGATATAATGAACTAATACTATAAATAGGTAAGTCATATTTTTAAATGTCTTGTTATGTTTATATAATAGTGTTAGATAATAATGTTTGTATGCAACTAATTAATGAAATAATGTTACTATTTTAATTATTTAAGACTTGTTTTGTTTTCTGTTATTTTTTTTATTAAAACTTTTATCGAAGACTTAGTTCCTAATTTCTAAGTTGTTAATTATGTATGATAACCACAGCCAGTTATCGTTCAAAAAAAAATGTTGTTACTATCGTTCTATATTATTTAGTATAATAGTATAGATACCTAACGTTGGTACCCTACGAAAACAATTTTTTTCATATTAAAATAGTTATATAAAGTAATTGATGTTAATATTCAAGTAACATGATAATAATAATAATAATAATATTGAAAGTACATTAATTGATGTTAATAGTCAAGTAACCATAATAATAATAATAATAATCATAATAATCAATACTAATAATATTGAAAGTACAAAAATGTGTGATTTTAAATAACTATTTCTGCATTTCTGCGATATTTATTGACATTGACGGTGATCATTATTACGTATGACCACTGACCAGGTTCCCACTTTCTCTGAAAATTTAATAGGCTTATAAATTAGCGGCCGACGACACGTAGTTGGTCATTCGATTATTCTCCTTCGATATCGTTAACAAGGAATAGCCATGTCGCTCCAAAACGTGATAATCTGTGAGTAAATTACGAGTAACATAATCGCACATTTAAATTCAATAAATTTATGTACCCATATACTCATGCGTTAACTCATTAAATATGTCTTTTTTTTTTGTATTTTTAGTGGTTTCGTGTTTGTTAGCCTCAGCCACGGCTTTGCAGAAACTCACAGAGTTATACAAATGGTCTTCGTTAGATTACACATTTGCTAGTGAAGAACACAAAAATTACGCTCTAGAACGAGGAGAATTCGTGCCGGAAAACAATTTACCAGTGGGAATCGAAGTATGGAAAAATAAATTGTTCGTTACTGTTCCAAGATGGAGTAATGGTAATATATTTTAATATGTATCTTAATTTAGAGCAGTTAAGTTAAAAATACAATTCAAATAACTTAAGTACGTATTATTATTATACACGTATACTGTCGGTGGCATCGATTTATCGTATTACAATGATATCCTTTGAATTTTAGGAGTGTTCCAAAAATGTAATTAAGTTTAAAGTTTTATTTTTTTCTTTATAACATTTTAACTTACTTGATAGTTGATAATGAAGTTACACATGTAATTTTCAACTATAATTTCATCTTCACGTACCTATTATTATATTGCGTAAATTGTTATTGTATTTAAGTATGCATTTAAATGTCGTGTTTTACGGTCTTTATTTTAATAAATAGATACATTTCGTCAGATATTTCTAAAAAAAACTCAAAAACTTCTTTACAAGTTCTACTTTAAAGTCCAACTGCTTTATCAAGTTACTTGACATTTATTAGCTGTCAATTATACCGACAAATAGTAGCTATGATTATAGTTCATAAATTCTTTAAATGTTTAAATTACTTATTTTAAAGAAATTTAAAATAAATTAAAAACATCGTTAATGTCTTAAATACCTACAAATTATTCAACTATAATACACAGGAGGTGTTGATGATAAATAATCAATCATGTTGTCAGCACCTTTCATCTACCTACCGGTATTGTATAATTTAATATGAAACATAAATGGTGTCGTTCCTTATAAAGCGATTAACATTTATCTATAAACATTAAATAATATAAATTAAAAATTGAATAAATCAAAGACGTCCGTTACTGACAGTCATTTGATTTTATATAGTTTCATATACGTCGCTGATTGTAAATTTATTCTTACATATTGTATGCTCGTATTATTAAAGTCCTATATTTAAATAAGAAATAATTACATCTGCACACTTAACTTTATTTAAAATTTTCTACTTGTTCATTAAGAAAACTTAAAAGGTATTTCCAATTAAATGTATTTTAAATAAAACTTTTAAAAAATGGAATGAAATGACACATTACTTGATGATTATTGTTTTGGGTTACAGAATCAACTATAACCAAGTGAAATTTACTACTAAGTGAATTACTAGTATTATGTTACATTTTAAAAAACCAATTTTATAAAGTTTAAGATATTTGATCATAATCCTAAAATTGTGTTTAATTAGGTACCTAATATTTTAATTTTATTTTTTATAAAATATATTATGAATTAAAATATATTTTTACACATTAAAAAAAATTCCAAAATCTAAAATGTTTAAGAGTTGGTTGTAAGACACGTCTTCTTTATAGTTCAAAAAACGGTGAAAAATGTAATTCCAAGCAACCGTTTTGCGTAAAGGCGAAAAGAGTTGATCGGTGTGTGTATGCTTCGACTATTGTTATTTTATTACCGCCTGTGCGAATTTCCCAAGAGTAAAATGTAAATGTATACGCTAGAGGAAATGTCCTTTTACCCTACCTTATCCTTAAAAACCGTACTACAGGTCTCCCTGGAGCCATTGGAATAAAAAGAGCGTTTAAAAATTTTGTTCTTGCACATCACTACCACACTTCTTGTGCAACTCTTCCCAATAAAATGTCGATGGTTGGAAACGGAATGCATAATGTGATAAAATAGGTACATAATATTATTATACAAATGTGTAAAGCATTATATTTATATTCCAAATCAGTAAAATATTTTTTTTTTTTTAAGAAGAAATGATGGCTCGTGTTTATCATTAAGTTTAATCTAGATTTGGACCATATTTAAAACTACAGCAATTGGAATTTGGTGTAGGTATTATTGCGATGATTTTGATAAAACTGACAATCGGCAACTGAATTACCTACTTTTGTCATTTTTTAAAAAATATTGTGAGTTATAATGAAAATATTAAATATAAAAACCATTTAATTTACTATTGTATTTATAATTTACTATTTATTAACAACCAAAAACAATTAAAATTTAAAACGCATAGTTATCTTATAATAAAAATAAAATATCTGAATTTATATTTGCCATCATTAATATATTTTTCTACCAATGTTTTAGTTTTATAAAATCGATAGGAACAAGTAATAACAAAATAAATTAGTAGTCAATTTGTATGCCTATTTCTCATAATTTGCGTCATTGCAATACTTGCCAATATTAATGATAAAATGGAAATATGTTTGGAAATAATTTACCAAACTAAATTAATAAATTGCCTGGATTTCTTCATTTTGATTTATATAATATTTATGTTTTAAACTTTTAAACAATACATTATGCCGTGCAAAAATAGAATTTATGATAATTATTATTATTATTTTTTTTTTTTATGCTACTCTACCAATGTTGGCAAATGTATTCATTGGATAAATAAAAGATTAAGTTACACATAAAAACCATTAGGAATCAGTCAGGAATACGAGAAAAAAAATTAAAAAATATAATATATGAACCCCTATTATAGCTCCGTTACCGATTTTTAGGACGTGTTAATGGTACAATCAATCGTGGGATATCCTATGGGTTTTAAATCGAGTTATCCATTATTTTACGAACTTTTTAGTTTTCACATGTTTTGAATTATTTTAAAAAAAAAGTAATAGCACTACACAATTATTTCATGTAAAATTGTAATATTTGATATTAAGATAAATAATATACGTTGATTACATTTTGTAATTATTGTCAAAAAATGTTAGTTAAAAAAAACGGTTTTAATTCTTAATTATCTGATTAAAAACAGAAATAAAATTGTATATTTATATAGATTATTAAAAACATTATCACACATATTAGTAATTTGTTTACCATGATAATTTTTTTTTATTATTATTATAATTTATTTCTTCACAAAATACAAGAATATTTCATAAATAACATATTACATTATATAGTGTACAATATATAAAAAGCCTTACTGAGCAAGCTCGTGTGGAGGCCATAAAAATTCACATGTATTATAATCCATAATTAGTTAAAAATTAATTTAAAACTCCCCTAGAAAAATATATAAATCTATTAAATTGTAAAATTTTCCAATTCTAAATACCTAATTACCAATTTATATATTATTATATTTAGTGTTTAGTTCTACATCGTTGAAATATAGTAAAATATCAGTTGTGAGATTAATAATATAGTCATAGAGAATGACATTGTATATATAATGAGTAACTGTTTTAACGGAAGCTCAATTATAATTTTTTACCAAAGAACTTTACATCACATATTTACTTTATACTATTGTATATTACTACCTACTATAATAATACTCGTATAATACCAAAAATTATATACATAGCCAAAACTTACTTAGTTGTATTATATGTTTTATGTCTTATACAATGAAATATCGAAATCAATGCAGTAAAAAAAAAATTTTAATAAGTCTATTATTAGTATGCTCGAGGCAAGTATATCTGTATATCTGTAGAAAAACAGGTACAATTCCACATACTACAAGCAGACGAAAAAAAACTAATTTTACATCAGTATATTATAATAATACAAACTATACCTACGTGAAAAAAACATGAACTCAATGACCTCGTAGCCCTTAGATCAATTATTTTCTTAAATTGTAATTTTACAACCTTGGCTTTACTTTTGATATTATGATGAAAATTACGATGGATAATAATGTTATTAAAAAAAATAAATCACGTACCTACCAAACGAAAGGGTCTAATCTTCGATGGCATAGAAATTTATACCAATAAAAACCAAAATTCTGTAATTCCACAGTAGGTACATAATTTGTGGGTAATTTGAGTTCGGAGGTATAATGCCGTCATTGCTTCAGGCCGAATAGTTTTAATTGACCTTCGACCACAAGTGGTTAATATTATGACGTGCCTATGTTGGAATTAGTTTTCGGGTAACTCGATGTAATATTACAAATTTCACATTTTATCATTGCATAAGCAATTTTGTACAAATTATGTACCACCTCAATAATAATGAGGATGCATTTAATGAAACGCATTTCCCCATAACAACTATCTAATAGGCAGAGTAATGGCTTATACAATTATAATTAAATAATTGGAAATAATCCAACATTATTATGTTGAGGAGGTACATCGAATATAATAACACTTTACTTTTTATTTAAATATACCCAAGATTCGATTTTTGTAATTTGGTGATTTTCTTACGACATAAGAAAGAGTGATTATTTATCATTATAGTATAATATAGTGCAAGGTGTAACGAATCACAGCCTTCAAGAAATCGCTCAGAGATGACATATTGAGGATAGAAATTTGCATTTAACTTAAATTAATTTTACTAAAAACAAATAAAATTTAGAAATATCAGATTTTTAATTATTGTGTTTTAATAATAACTGATAATCAATTAACATTTTCTAATTAGTTTTGTAATTTTTTATTAATTTAGTTTAAATTTAATCTTTTTGCTGTTGATAAAATTCTCATTTAACATTATTCATATATTCGTTTATTAAAATTATTAAAATCTTACTCTTTTTATTAATGAGCACAAATTTTACTTCTAAGGTGAATGCATCATAGAAACTCAAGGGAAAAACATTTATCTGTAAAAAAACTCTATTCGATTTACGATTATTGGTACATGCAAGTTGAATGCTCTGGTAAATATTTTATAACTTTTAATGCAGTTGAATTTAGATGATTCGTAACCTAGAGCATAAAAAAAGAGTTCAAACGATCTTTATTTTACTTTATAAAAGTGTTGTACCTATTCAACCGTCACTAACCAATAAATTGTTCTATGGATATCCATAAGATTTCTTATCCCTCCATGGTGTAGCTATTGTCATTATTTTTACATAGTATGGACTCGAAGCAATTATTTGTGTAAGTATACCTACACTAATTAATTTTCTTTTTTTATAAACTTCATAAAAATTCAAAAAGTGTATCTTAAATTAAACATTTTTTTTAAAAAATTTTAACATAATTATTATGTACATGTATTTCAAGTTGTTAACACATATTCTGCAAAATTATAACATTATCATTTAAATATTTTGACTTTTTATTACATCAAAATTTATGACCCGCTGATAACAGATATCTAAATAAATTTTATATTATATACTATTTCTATAATATTATTATAGTTTATAATGGAGGCACATCAGTTTTAATTTGTAATATTATTATTATTATTATCACGAATAGATATAGATCAAGTATATGCAATGTATAATATAATATCATATATAATTATTGTAGATATATGTATATATGTGAGTTAATATTGTTTATGAACTAATTTCTAACAATTGATAAAAGTATAAAACGATATTATATTAATACGTAATAAAATGTTTATAAAATAATTTTGCCCTGAAATTCTATACTACTGATTATAACATTGTTATTGAATAAATAACCTTACTCCCAAGGGCATAATTATTTTTAATAAGTATTCAAGTCAGACTTTCGTTATGTAATATCATCAAAAATGCTGAAATTCCCAAAAATCTGACATTGTGTTATTTACGAGAAAGAGTTCATAGTTTTCAAAAGAATTCCAATTACAAAATATCAAAATTTGGTAACAGTGTCAAAACTATAGAAGAGGTGTGCGTGATGTTTTTGGCGTTTACGAAGAAACAATAATCTAAAAAGTAAAATAAGAAACGAGTGGAAACGTCGCCCAAGCTAAAAGCGCTGATAACTGTTTGATGCTCAGACGGAAAAAATAATACACAGTGTTTATTAAAATAAATTACTTACTAATGAAAAAAATCATTAATATTAATAGTAACATTTTTAAAATATTTTATTGGTACAATTTTTTTAAATGAATAAATTATTCATTGACCAAAATATTTCTTAATATAGTTAATTAACAGTAACATATTTAAAATATTTTATTGGTACTTTTTTTTTTTAGTGAATAAATCAAAACTTTTTTGAATATTATAGTTGATTAACTGTTACTATCCAAAAGTGTATGTTTGACTTTGACCGAAACATTAACATTACTACCAATGAAATGTCTAGACGATATCATTAAATATTTAAATAGATTATCATATTACCTGTCTTAAGTTTTAAACTTGTAATTTCAAATCCTATTTTAATTCTTTCTAATTACTTCTCACTGTGGAAACACTTATGTGATGCATTTGTATAATTTTGTCATAAATAATTAAAAGGTGTAATTTATTAATTTATTTTTATTTGGTTGATTTTGTTTAGGGGCGTAATAGTTTGTAAGTTACATTTATTAACAAAATTACAATTGATACAAATTGATATTTAATTAATTTGTATGTTATACCCCAAACAAATTATTGGCAGAGACATTTTGTTTTATTGTTGTCAAGACTGTATAATTAACGTAACAAAGCGGCTGCCATTCTCGGCTTTCTCCCATTCAGAAACACCAAAACTTTTGGCAGAGGCGCTAAAAATTATGAGCTGTCATTGTTTGCCGTTCAAGTTTTTACTTCCGAGATAATTATTTTTGCATCCCATGCTTTTTACGCTAAACCAATACCCCTCTAGCAATTGAAAAACTTGCTTTTTGCAAACAATATTCTTATCCGCTTAAACTTAGGTATTTTTTTCGGTGACCTCTCATTTTTTCTCCTCATCGACTTTATAATATATGCATTCTTTTTTTTTCATTTTTATTACTTATAACTTTTAAGACGGTAAAGTAAAATTCGACACATTTTTGTTTACTCGTAGTGTGTATTACGCACCTACTTATTATTTACCTACCTAACCTTCATTACTAAACTACCAAAAACCATTTAACTAATTATATACCTACCCATAATCATATTAAGATATGTTTCGAAATCTTATGAATAGTTTATTTCGAATTAATATATTTTTTAAATGAATAATTCAGAGCTGACATTTTCAGTTTTGTAATTTTTTTTTATCATTATTATTAATATTTTATTTAATTAGTAGATAAGATTTCATAAAATAAATAACAAATAATCATCCACATTCTTCAATTTAATAATTAATACATTGATTATCATATGGATATTTTAAATGTTTGAAAAATTAGTAATTTAAGCCAAAGTCATATACATGCATACTACATTTTTTCATCGGAGTAGAAATAATTAACCGGTTGGAATCATAAATTATTTTTAAATTAATGTATAAGGTATTTTGTGTTGAAATAGGTGCCTACATTTTAACTTTTTTATAAAATATATTTACCTTTATAAATTATCAAATTATTTGACGAAAATTGATTAGACAAAAAATATTTTATATATAGGCACCTAAAGGGTAAAATAGTAAAATAGAAGTAACATATTTTCAGTACACGTAGATGATTCTGAAATGACAATATGGTATGCATGAGTTTTCCCCTTTTACAGTCAACATACGTGATTCCCAAAGTCGCAACATACCCAAAATCTACTAAAGCACATGATTTGAATACACAATTCCGATGAATATTTAAATGATATATATTATTGTAAAATATAAATATATATTTGTATGTGATAATTTTAACATTAGCCAATAAAAATAAATGTACCTATGTGTTTATCAAAACATATTAATTATAAAATATTAATAATAATATTTTCTTATAGGTATCAATTCAAAGATTATACTATTACCTATATATAAATTGGTACCAATCTAATAATTTAACGAATCTTGTATCAATAAATATTTCTCGGTAGCTGTTTTTTCCTCAATGATTATTCTTATTAGTTAATCCCGATTTTCTTAAAAAATAATTTTAGTGTAAAATATTTTCATTATTATTACTAACATAATATTATTTATATTATTTTAAGCTATTTAAAATTTCTAATTTAACAAAAAACCAAAAATTAAAGTGTATACGGAATGTCCGCTTAATATTTGTGTTTATATTATTACTCAAACATGCATATAAAACTATCATAAAAACCAGAATGTGAACTATGTGTGAACCTATTATCTCAAAGCGCTCTCGAAATTCTGATTCAGCAAAACTATTTAAAAGCGAAAACAAATTAGACAGTAAACTCGATCTTTAAGCAAATATATGATATGCCCATTTTTAAGAAATATTCCCCGGAGTTTATCAAGCACATTTCATATAAATGTTTGGCCATTAAGTAATTGAAACATTTATTCATTATCTACATCTACAGATCAAACAAGATATTTCATATCCTATGAATAGATTTATTTTGTATGCGAATAGATGGCGAGCTAACCGTGTATGAAAAGCACTTAGAGAAAAGCAAAATATTGAATAAATTACTAAAAGGTTGCACAGTATTGTTCTCTTTAGTATCACCAACATATTACACAGTGCAACCCGTTTAGTTTAACATCTAATTGTTTCCTCGATAAACAATATTCTATTTCGTTCGTTGTCACTTCGTGGTGAATTGAAAACAAGGGTTGGATCAATGAAACCTTTAAAACAGTTTAAAAACATTTTAACCTTTCCAAGGAACACAAACAATTCGATGCATGGAAAAACACGTACATCCGTTTCCTGGTCGCAGTAAAATGTATTTGTTCACCGTATGAACGGGAGCCGGTTCAGAAAATACTATAGCTTGAATAGGTTTACAGTATTTACACGCGACCCGCACTAATTGGTCGATTTAGTGGGTCTATTTTCGATGGTTCCTAATTTGTTCAGAGACCGGACAACAGATCAAAATCTTCGTGACCATCGTGGTTGATGTTTATACCTACCACAAACCAAATAAACACTGACAATAACATATTTGTATAATGTGTTCATGATCTAATGTGTTTGATTTGATTAACTGCGAGATTTTAAATTTAGATAAAATTACAACATTTGATACTTCGTGCATTTTAGAAATATATATATAAAAAAAAAATAATAATACTAATTGGTCCAAAATAATCAAATTAAAGTTGGTAATTTGTCAAGTATATCTTAAGGGCTAAGACGAATGAATTGTATTAACAAATATTTAATTAATCATATCGGTTGTTAAGCAGTAAACGCTTGCAAATAGAAAATAACTTTTATTTCATATTATTCTATTAATTTTTTCGTTTATTGAAATTCCTCTTAGTACAGGTTTAATACCATATATCGCCGTCTTCTGAAGAAATCAACAAAAAACACGAATTCCTATTTAAAAATTAAAAGTTTGTTGTGTTTAAAAATACAGTAAAAGAGAATTTCCATTTATAATATCGATAACCCATTTTAGAAATTAGTATCACTTATTTAAATGCGTGCAAAAATCCAAATACGAGTGTATAATATAATAACTCAAACATTAACATAAATCATAATAATATAATATGTAGGTAGATACATAATATATTATTAATATTCTAACAATATAATTATTATGATTAAATAATTCCTTCAACATAAATCGGTTTTTTGCTCCTTGGTTGAATAATATGTTTATAACAGAATCACCATTTTTAATGAACATTAATAACGCACTTTGCATATTTATATTTTGTATAATTCAAATTACAATCATACGATAATAACATAAGATTAGGTTAAAAGCAATGATGGTTTTAAAATAAGATCATAAGGTAATGTTTGAAGAAGAAGACGCCAATTAATCATGAACATATACTTTCCGGGAAATACAAATTGTTATTTATTTGTTAGTTAAATTTATTTGTTTAAGTTTTATTATTTTAACTGAAAAGTAATTAATTTTATTTCTTATCGTGGTTGATTTTTTTTGTTTTAGGAGTTCCTTCTACGTTAAATTACATACCGTTGGATGTGAGTTCGACTCAATCCCCAAAATTGACACCATACCCAAATTGGGCATACAACAGAGAGGGTAACTGTGATGGTTTGACAACAACATACAGAGTAAAAGCAGACAGCTGTAACAGACTTTGGGTTTTGGATTCTGGAACTGTTGGAATTGGTAAGTTTAATTTTAATAAATTTAACTCAACTAGAGAGAGAATAATTCATAGTGATAAATTAACCAAAAAAATGTAATAATAATACATTGATATTAAAATACGTCATATTTACGCATATATTTAGAAAAATTAAGTATTTCAATTTCAATTAGAATAGACTATAAACTATACATTTAGTTATCAAAATCCTATGTTATGCTATGAAAAAAAAAAAAAAAAACTATCTGGACATTCTATTCAACAAACTCGTCTTTAATATATTTTTAAAGAACTATATAACTTACAACAAGTGTTTACATTTCTAGTAGTTTTATTTCTTAAAGTGTCTACTTCAGAATATGATTGCCTTTTTTATTTAGTGTCAAACTATTTTTAACTCAAGTTTTAATCACTGGTTTGGCTTATATTTTTAAGTTTTTTTTGCTTATTTATATTTTTTTTTGGACCGCATACAATTCCTAAAATATTTCAATTTCAATTCACTCTACTATATTTAATCGGCGTTGGTCGTTTGTTAGTCAGCAATTTTCCACATCGAGAAAGCGAGATATTAAGGTTGCATCACTGCTGGTCACATTCGGTCAGTTCTCCCTTATACACGTATCTCTTAGTTACATATGTGAAGCATTAATAGAAAGAAAACCAGGGGACTGTAAAGTAGTAGCCAAGTTACCATCCATGAACAATCATCCCTCATCTTGTTGGGAAACGAAATTGATGGCTGTTAATTAATCAGGAGGTTCGGTTTTCCTCCAAATAATTGGATTGTACAATTGCTTAACGGGTAGAAAATGTATTTTCTCACTACGAGGGAGTAAATTTTCGAATAAGTTTTTGCAATAGGGTCTGCATTCTGCCTGTATGTTTCGTGAACTACGTTTCATTAATAAAATCTATAACGGTTTAATATATGATAAACTTGGTATTGGATACTTAAATATGCTTTGTTTTTAGCAAAAACTAATTAAATAATAGAATAATAAATTTATTATAATAAACGTATAGTGAATTGTTTACAATTGGTCAAGAGATTATATTTTTAACACAATGTATACCGTAAATGAATTTTAAATAATATTTTGTAATGAATTATTTTTAAATAGGTAATACAACAAAGCAAGTATGTCCATATGCTATCCATGTGTTTGATTTGACCACAGACAAAGTATTAAGGAAATACACTTTAAGACCAGAAGATACTAATGACCGAACATTTATTGCTAATATCGCCATTGATATTGGATCTAAAGGGTGCGAAGACACGTTTTTGTACGCATCTGATGAGCTTGGCTATGGTTTAATATCTTACAGCTGGGAATCAAACAAATCGTGGAGACATACACATAGTTTCTTGATGCCCGACCCATTAGCAGGAGATTATAATATCGGAGGTAAATACAAAATATATTTTTTAAATTCCTTAAAATTGTAGTTTAAGTTAAACATATATTCAATTAATTATTTTTATATTCTTATATTAAAACAAATTTATCTTAAAAGTTATTTTTCGATTTAAATTATTTAAGTTTAACTTCACAAACAGTGTTACTGATAAAACTTGTAAAATAAATACATAATAATATTAACAGCTTCACCACTCTACTTGAAATCTAAAATATTCATATATATATAATATTCATGATGCAATTAAAACATGTTAAAAGTTTTTTTTGTCGAAATACTAAACATTTCAAAGCAAAATGTGTTATCATTAATTTGTTAATTTCTGATCAGAATCTGTGACAAAAAAAAATATATTCAAGAAGTGCATGAAACTATTTATAAAATGAAAATAATATTTTATCTGCCATTGATTTTCCATTTTTTTTTTTTTTTTTTTTTATCAATTCATATCAAAAGGTCTAAAACGTATTACTTTAATATAAATATTAAAACATTAGATTTGGAAAATATTTTACTTATTTCCATAATTGAATACATTTGTTTTTATTTGCATATTTTAAATTTCTAGGTATCAACTTCCAATGGGGAGAAGAAGGAATATTTGGTATCACGTTGTCACCAATAACTGAAAGTGGTTTCCGATTATTGTTCTTCCACCCACTAGCCAGCAACCGTGAGTTTGCCGTTTCTACAGAAATTTTACGCGATCCCAAACTCACCTCAGAAGAAATATATCACGATTTCGTTGTTTTGCCATCCAGAGGACCTGGTGGTCACGTTACTGCACATTACATGCATGACGATGGAATTCTTTTCTTCAATTTAATCGATCGAAACGCTGTAGGTTGTTGGAATTCTAGACTTCCTTATGAACCTAAAAATTTGGGAATTATAGACGTTGATGACGAAGCTTTGATCTTCCCCAGTGACGTCAAAGTAGATTCGTTAAACAACGTTTGGGTTATTTCTGATAGAATGCCCAATCATTTATTGTCTAAACTTAACTTCAACGATATCAACTTCCGTATTTTCTTCGCACCTCTTGAGGCGGCTTTGGCTGGTACAGTTTGTGCAGGCAGTATTCCTTATATTCCACAGGAACAATCAAATTATGTCACCTCTAAAGTTTATTAAAAAGAACATTTGCAATATTTCAATATCCATTTTGTATAGCACACATCATAGCATTAACAGTTTAGTTTTAAAAAGGTAGTAGACAAAACCTGCAAGAAATGATAAATATTTCTTTCAGTCAACTGTTAATATCAACTTTTTTCTCAAATATTAGAAAACCAAAAGTGTACTTTGGACATTTTATCATATTTGTTATTATTTTTATCAAAACCTTATTAATAAAATGCATCCAAAGTTAAGTTAAAACCTCGAAAATACCTAAGCCTAGTATTCCACAACATTTTAATTATATTATTTTGTAAATATTATATTGCTATAGTAGTATAGTGTAATCACAAATTACATTTTAAATTTATTTAGTTGTTAAGAACATTTTAAGTTGTACATGATTCATATTGCTATACCTAACAACTACCACAAACCTATGTACAAACAATTTGTAATTTAATTATTTATTTTGAATAAAAATTATACTGCTCTTATAAAATAATTGTTGTTTAATTTGTTTGGTAATAATAACAATGAATTAAGATTATTAATTATTAAGCACAGAAAATGATACCTACAAATCTACTCCATATTTAGAATTTACGTGAGCTTTGGTAATCTCTAAGGAAACCAGTAGGTACCCACAGACCATAGTATTATTATTTATTATCATTAACTTAAAATCGATAACAAACTGCAGAAATATATTAAATAACTCTAATGGGAGATCGGTCGCTATGACTATAATTGTATTATACTACATTCAAGTTTTAAACATTTTTTAAAAAAATATTTGATAAAAAATATTTGTGTGATATTTCATATCGTATGGTACCTGTATGATTTGATTAAGATTGCATTGAAATACAAATATGATTTTCATAGGACATAGTTTAACAAAAGAATTTTTCATTTATTTTTTTTTTAAAGGTATAACTCAAAGCGTTGACATTTGACCGGAATTTCATTGTACCTTTTCGTCAAATAATACTCTGTATGTAGATTGTAGACACCCTCTCCACATTAGTCGTTTTGAAAAGTCAAGAATTAGCGTCAAATTACCTTGGGGTCCATCATAACATAAAAAATTATCAAGTGGTTCAGCTCATGTTCTCTTTTTAGTTAACCAGGTACTACTTCAAAATGTAACATAATAATATTTCAGCTGCTAACATTAACTTTATTATTGTTCTAATATGTTGATACTAAACTAATAATCAATGAATAGTTTAAAATGTGGTACAAAAATACTTCGATTTAAATTCAAAATTCAATATATTATTATGAAATAATAAATAAGAAAACCAATAAGAGAATATGTTCATATTTTAAACAAATATTTAAAAAAAATAATTAAAATAAAGTATGACATAAAAAATTACATTCCGTGGTAATGTATATGTTTTTAGTTTAAAAATAATTTTTTTTCTACATTACCAGTTTATTTCTAGACTTATTGTACAGCTTACGAAAAATTAAGTATAAAAAAATTTAAATTAAATACATTTTACACAAAAATATTATTGAATCAGTAGCAAACAAAACATAAATTGACATTTACTGGTTACAATATTATATTATAAGGCAAAAATGAACAGTACAACTGTATAATATAAGAAAAAATTCACTATCCGCTTAGAATCTAAAAAAACTAGTAATTTTCTATCAGATGTGACAACATAATATTTTGTTTCTATGTGTTGTGTACCATTTAATAAGACGATGAAAATATATACAATTGACTTTATGGTTATGTCAAAGGTTAAACCACCAATAGCAACCAACGCAATCCTCAGTAAAAGCGAACATCGTGTAAGCGAAACTCAAGATATTTAATACCTTCGCAGTAGTATAAGTTAATTGATTTATTTTATATAATATCCGGTTAAAAATTGCAAAAAATATCTGGCACAATCAATGATCAAAGTGATTCTGATACTAGTTAGCGCACTGTGCTGCACAATACGAAAATAAAAGTCAGACAGTCAAAATGCGTTTACAAAAGAAGTCACTTAGTTACGTAATGAAAAAATAAACATCATCGTAAAACCAATACACTTATCGCTTTGCTTAGTATATGTACGAATAAGATAAAGATACTATATATAGGCACCATTCTACCCTTCTCGCTTTGATTATTTTTATAACCGAAGTTGAGACACGAGAAATTGTTGAGAGATTATTGTATGTTTTTTATAAGGGAGGAGTGGAATCTATTCATCTTCAATAACGATGCATTTATATTAGTTACTAGCTGATCCCTTGTACCCACTTCGTTACCCGTTAAATGTGCCAAATCTATATGACTCAAACATTGTTCAATTCGTTATTTAATATTCAGTGTATGGTGTAAAAAATCTATCTTAACTTTTCCGTTGCCCGGAATAATAATAATAGTTATTAACAGGTAGGCAATCTACCTGCGGTAGATCGTGGACCCCGTGATGTTTGTACGCAAGTGTATGATTTAACTCTAAAGTATCAAAGTTATAATACATTTTATGTATTCCACATATGGTGGATTAATATAATCAGTGAATACAAAATCCTAAAAGTACTAATATCAGATGAATAAAAAAAAACCAAATTTAACCGATTAACCAATAGCAACCAATATACAATACACTATTATTATTTTAATTTGAAACTAACTTTTATCAATCATTAATCTAACTAGAATCCTAATACCGTTTTGTCCGGAATCGCCCCTCCCAGTGGCGTAGCCAAGGGGGGCAGTGGGTCATGACCCCTCCCCCCATCGGCCGTATCAATGTTTTTGCATAATTTAGTATATTGTATACGTATGCAATAAATACGTATAAAAATTCGTTGAATTCGCTTTTGCTCTTAATCCTCATCAATTTGTTTGATAGTATTTTATTTTCTGATCAGTTTTTATCAAATAGGTTGTAAATATTATTATTGTGGTGACTGGTGGGCCATCACTGCAATATCACAATATTTCCTCCCGGAACAAATTGTACAAATGTATTACCTAATGTAAAATTACTACTACAATTATTTGCAACTTTACCGGTTACATCAGCGAAACCGGAAAGCATATTTTCAACTCTTAAATTATTGAAGGATTATTTACGATCAACAATGAACGAAGAAAGACTTATTAATGGGTTAGCTATTACAAAGATAAAAAAAATCCAAAAAATCACAGAAGAAGAAGTAATCAAAGTTTTTTCTTTTAAAATCTCATTGGTCAAAATTAAGTTAAATTTAAATTTAATTACAATAAAATAAAAATGTGAACTGTTATTGTTAATTGTTGATTTTGTTTTTTTAGTATTTTGGGTTTGCCCCCCCTACTTTAAAATCCACTGTCCCCTCCCACCCACGTGTCTGAAGTCACCACCATTTACGCTAATTTCAAAATGATCATTCTATTTTTTCTACTGTATTTATTTTTCAATCATTACATGAACCTAAAAATGTAATGCATTCCACTTTTCTAACAATAAAAATATATGAGCACGTCATTGTACAACCTAAGTTCACTTAATCCGATAAAAGTCTATAAATTATAAAAGTGAAAACCAAATATTCAACACATATTAATAATAATTAATATTATACTACTATCATCTTTAATATAGCCACGTGATTTAATTTTTTTAAATGTTTACGTTGTGTAATATCATCTTTATGTTTATTTGGTATGATAATACAAACAACTTTATGTTTTTATATACTCTATATAGGTAGGTACCTGTGTTCTATATGCAATGAAATGATTGGTATATGATTATTAATGGTCTTTATTTTGTTTTAAAAAATAGCATTTGTATGATACGTATATGTATTTATATTTTCTATTGCGTGCGTCAACTAATGTTGACAGGTTTTACAATCAAAAGTAACGATGTAATTTGTTTGAGGGGAGCAAATTAATTTTACTACCAAAAAGGGGATTCGTAATATTATAGGTATGCAATATTTCTATAACATGAACTTAAATATTATTACAAAGCTTACTAAAAAGCCACACTAAAATACATCACATGACTCAAATCATTTACCTACTTACCAACGTTTCGTGTTTTTGTGAAAGAACTTACTATTACCATCAAATACAATTCAAATTACGTGATCCATGGGTACGCATGAAATTCAATAATTTTGTATTTGTTAAATGTCGAAAAACTAAGTAAACAAACATAGTAACTTAGTGAGTGGTTGAAGAACCACGCTCAGATGTCACGCTAAACTCAAATAAAATGTGTCTTTCACTTAAAAACTATTTGATTAACTTAAAAATACAATAAAATAACTATAATAATAATAATAACCTATCAGTTAATAATAATACATAAAATAGTAGTATTTTATAATATTACCTACATACATTATATTTATTAATATATTTGTTGGTTTTGATGTTGTAAAAATACTTCTATGTGTGGATTTATTTTTTGTACTCACTCGATACAACTCTTAAAGTACCTAACGCTAAGTTTAAATAATTTAAAAATAGCCATGGGAAGGTCTTGAAAACACTTTAATAATATTACAATCATCTAAAATTACGATGTATAGAGATATTTATGAGGGATTAAAACTAAAAGGGCTGGTCAGGTTTTCCAAAACAAATTATAACGTCAGATCGAGTGAGCTTGGTATGATACATTTTAACAATAATTAAGACTTATCGTCCCTAACCTTTACGGAAGGGAAGTTATAGAAGCGGGGAGCAGCAAATTTGCAATTCAAAACTACCACCGGTGGCTCTGTGTGGGGAGGGACCCGAATATTTGAGTCCACCTCATCGTCACAACAACACCATCAGCGCCTTCATCATCATAACCACCACAGCTATCCGTTATTATATAAGTTCAAGCGTGTGTGTGTGTGTGTGTGTGTGTGTGTGTGTGTGTGTGTGTGTATGTTTAGGGTCCGGTTGAAATTGTCTTGTACCTCTTCTACCCTTCCCGCCAACAAATCGACGACAGTCTAATTCCTAGGGAGCTTCTGTTTTTGCTTGACTGTCCTCGAATGCCGAC